GCTGTTGTCGCCCTGTTGATGACGTCAGCGACGCAGTTTAGTCGGACGCGGTTTAGTCGAGCGCGGTTTTGTGGTGGAACTGCAGCAAAGATATCCCAAACACCTTTCTCCTCTTATTTTCCCCACAACCACCACCCTGTGAGGTGACTTGGGCTGAGAGAGAGTGACTGGCCTAAAGTCACCCAGCTGGCTTTCATGGGCTAAGGCAGGACTTCAACTCACTGTCTCCCACTTTCTAGCCTGTGGGAAGATATCTGCATATTTTCATTTTCTTTCTCCCACCATAGCCCCCAAATACCATCTTCCTTAATACAGGTAGTCCCCGACTTACAACAGTTCATTTAGTGACTGTTCAAAGTTGCAACAGCACTGAAAATAGTGACTTATGACCATTTTTCACTTATGACTGTTGCAGCATCTCCATGGTCACGTGATTTACATTCGTATGTTTGACAACTAGTTCATGTTTATGACAGTTGGGATGTCCTGGAGGTCATGTGATCACCTTTTGCGACCGTCTGACAAGCAAAGCCAGTGGGGAAGACAGATTCACTTAACAACCATTTTACTAACTTAACAACTGCAAACGTGGCAAGAAAAGTAATGAAATGGGAGCAAAACTGAAGAAATTTCTCATTTAACAACATTAATTTTGGGCTTAAATGTGGTTGTAAGTTGAGGACTATCTGTATTATGGAAGTTTTCCCCAAAAGGGACATAGGGAAAGAAAGACAGGAAACTGTAAAAAGGGGGGAAATGATTTCCTGTTAAGCCAGTCTCTCTTAGATCAATCCCCCCCCCCCAATAAAGGGAAGACTTTTCTGCACCCATAGAAAGCTTTTGTTGGTTTCTTGACATTACCATCACTTTTCTGTCCCCTTTTCATCTTATATTATGTACCTTTTTCATCCAAACGTATCAACCTAGGAATAAACATTTTTGAGAGTAAAAATCAGTTTAAGCCATTGGCATCACTATCAGTGCAGTATCACTGCACATCAGTGAAGCCATCTATTTAATGTTAATTTTCTCTTGCAGATATATGATTTGTCGTTGTTTACATTACTCTTCCTCTGTCATTCTTTTTGGTTTTTGAACTTTATTCACATGAAAGTCATATGAAATATGTTCTGCTAAAACTAGTAGTATGTATTTAAAAAATGCCTGGAGGGATTAGAATCCCTAAAAGAGCATTACGAACATATGGAGAAGGGAGGTTTCAATTTTTTTTCTAAGCAGCTTTGAAACTATTAACCATTGGTTAATATTTGTCCTGCTTGCATCCCGGTTTGCATTTTGTTTCAAAACAGATACATCTTTAAATTTTAACGTGGAAAATTACTTCTCCTTATGTCAGATTTTCATTATTTTCTATAACTAGAGTAAATCTTTAGCAGTTGGCTCCTTTGTTAGAATGTTTTTGTTAGAAAATATTCATTCTACCATTTGTGGTAGTAGTTCTGCAAAGTTGCTATTTGACCAGCATAGGGGGACTGAAACAGATGTTGGGAAAGGATTTAGTAAATGAGGATTAAAGAACCAAACTTTCTGCTTATTGATATACTGTTATTATATGAGCAGTACTAATGAACATTATTATTACTAGGATGATGACTATTGCTCAAATTAACTGTAACCAGACACAGTTTATATAGACATTGAAATTGTTGCTCTTTCTTTATATAGTAAAAATTTAAAAAAAAATCCCTTCACAACCCTTGCAAAATTGCTGAATACCTCTTTTAATAGACTAATTATTCTGAAAAACCTGAGACTTCCTCCATATACCTCAAGGGATATCCTCATTTCCCTACCTAGTTAATCAAGGATGATGTAACTTCGTCCTGAAAAGAAACAACGGAAGATCTAGCTGAGTTCTGAAATACAGCAAAGTTACAAGCTGTAACAAGATGTTTCTCTGTGGCTAACGGGACATATTGATTTCATGAAACTGAATTTGGAATTACAAAATGGGTGCATTACAACAAGTCCATGACATCTATCACTGAACTGCAACTGCCAGTATTCTTCACCATTGCTTAGGAGTTGTAATTAAGCAACATTCTAGAGAGCTGCAGCTTCCCGAATCCCCTAGAGGGATCCAGATGCATAATCTGTTCCAAATGAAAGTGAAGTCAGAATTATGGATTTTTTTTCTCTCTACATCTGCATAGGGTGCCTTGTATGCTGATTAATGATTTTGTAAAATGGATCCATACAATATATTGATCAAATACTGCATGTTGACAAAAAAATATACTTAACACAAGAAATTTCCCATCGTTGCAAATATTTGCATTAGAGAAGAAATAAACAATATGGTTTTTTACCGACTTTTCTTAAATAGATATTTGGTAATATGGGATGGTTTCTGCATTAATTTAAGATCTACAATTGTATGAAAAAGTATCCCCCTCCTTTTGGAATTTTTAAGTTTTTATATATTTTGACACTTATCAAAGCATTGTTCGATCCTAATGATATAAAAACTGTATGAATGAACAAGTAACATCAAACATTGGTGATTTTTCATTTATTTCATAACAAAATAATCTATCTTGCAGTAGACCAATGTGGAAAACAATTGCCCCTGTTTCAGTAAGTGATTGCATCATGTTTAGCTGCAAGAATTGCATGCAAGCACCTCCTGGAATTGGTGATCATATATCATCTATGGGGATTTAGTCCCATTTCTCTAACAGCCAAGTAACATTAGAGGTTTTCTTGGCATAAACTGCTCATTTTGAGTCCTGTCAAAGTGTTACTGTGGAGCTTTAATCTGGAAAATGACTTTGCCATTCTAAAATATTGAATGTGTTCTTCGTTATTTACTCTCTTGTAGTTTGCTTATGTCTGGGGTCACTGTCTTGATGCACTTCATATGACAGATGACCAATATTCTCCTGTAAAATCTGATATTCATATTCCATACTTTTCCCACTTATTCATAAACATTCCTCCTGACCTCCCTTGCCTTCTTTCAAATGCTTTCTCACAAAGTGACAAGTTTCAGTGTTTTTCTTAGTGATTTCCATCTTGCTGTTCTTCTTTGAACCCCATTTTTCATCAACAACTTCTGAAAGTTAGGGTCATGAGGCTTTAGCCACGGTGCGTGAAGCTTAGATTATTTTTGTATGTAAATACTGGAAGTGAAGAATCTGTTACCATGCAGAAACCTGGATTCTCATTAACTCTTGCTAGTCTGACCAGTGGAAGACTTATAGAAATCATGGTCCAAAACATTTGGAGTGACTCAAACACAAGAACTTGTGCCTTACAGGTTGCAAGCAATCCATCATTCTTTTCTGATTCTCCAGAAATGAGGAGAGTCATTAGGAAACCCGGAGGATTTAAGTGAATAATTTCAGTGCATTAAAGTTTGCAGGTGCTTGCAGCACTGATTTTACCCTTTAAAACTTTTGAAAATTCTTTCCCAAATGCCCATAGTCCGTCCTGTTTCCTCCCCCACCCCCCATCACAAACACGAAGGCAGTCCTCGGGCAGCCAACATTTGTTCATCCCTAAATTAAATGGATAATTCTTGCTTTGTTATAGCAACATAAGGCACATTAATCCTATAAGTGGCAGACATTCTAACATGCTAAGTCAAACAATTTAAAATTAATCGTTTGGTCTCTTGTTTCTATGAATTATTGTGATAACCAGTCATGAGAAACACAATGCCATACACAAAGATAAGATGTAGTTGACGATGATATACAATCCAAAGCATGCACCGCAGGCAGTCATGCCTTTTTAAAAAAAAACTGATGGTGTGTCCAATTGTTTCCAAAACAGCATTGAGCAGATGGACTCACTGGATACACCCAAGAGGCAGACAGATATTCCTGTAAGCAAATGAACCAGAATTAGATGTGCTTTGCTTGTATCATTTCTAAAATAGGTCAGCCCATTTCAGCGCATTTTTCTACTGTTCATAAAAATCTTGAGAAATGGCCTCAGAGGTAAGCTTTCTTTTCAAAAGAAATGATCTAAAAGTTAAATTTAAGCAAGCCTATTAGAAATAGAAAATTAGCCATGCGATGTCAAGCTGTATACTGTATATTAAGTTTATTCTGTACCCTGTGCATTGCCTGTCTGCTTCATCAAAAATTTCAGATAGGACCCTTTACTAGTCCTTTTACTCTGACAGTCATTTACCAATGATAGCTAGTATTCACAGGTTAAATCATAATGTGGTCTGATTTTGACTTGGCAGGATCCATGAACCCGGTCCACTGATTTATTAAAGAAACCATGGTTAAAGGAAACCACGACTTAACTTGAAATGCGAGCCACTCTTTTTGCAGATGTAATAATGCTAACCTGAAATAGTAAAGTCGCCCCATCCAATCCCTTAACAACTTATTTATCGCCCTAAACACGTGTTTTTCTCAACGTGCAAAAAAATCGGTGGTTTTTAATCTTCATTCTGCAAGTCCCTTGGAGTAAGCGGTTGCGATCCTGCACGTTTGAGCCGTTTTAAGATAACATTTATTGTCACTTTTTTCAGTGAACACACCGGCACATATTAAAAATGAATTATTATTATTTACTATCTTGACACCTTGTATGGCCTGAACTCTTTTATCCAAAGATAACGTGCTCCGCAGGGCTTCCTCCCAGCCTATTTGTATTTTAGGAGAGCAGACAGACGGTTTCCAACAACTGAGCTGCTGCTGTCGCGTCTCTCCGCAAGCGCCACTAAACTCCGCCGCCGGAGCATTCAACTCGCGGTGCTGCTGCTGCTGCCTCCAAGGGCGAAATACAGTAGGGATAACGCGTCCAGAAGCCGGCAACATCTTCCAATCGGCTCCTCCCTCCGGTTCAATAACAGCCAGCAAGGTCCTCCCCTCTATGGGCGGAAAAAGAGCCCGACGCGCTGGTCGCCGGGGCTTTACGCAATCGGTTCCAAATAGCGCAGCGTGGCGGCTGCCGGCTTCTTCCCCTTTGGGGAGGGGAAGTAGGTGAGTACTGTCGGAGGGAGCTACGCACCGGCCTTGGAAAAGCAGCCTGGGTGTTCCGCAGCTTGGAGCGGAATCAAAAGGGAC